TGCATGGCTTTTTGCCTAGGTACCATTCTAGTTTAACATGTCTAAGGGTTTCCAGATTGAGACTATTTTGCATTCCTTCAGACCCTAACACAGGTTTAATTACTTTCTATTTTTCTCTGGCCATGTAAATATATGCTAGGCGTGAAAGTATGGTGGATCAACACCTTTTTTTTCTGAGGCACATTTTGTATTATGATAAGACATACAGAGGAATCTGTGTGAAAAAAATGTTACACTGAAATGATGTTCAAAACAACATTCTTGCTTTTTTACTAGGTATCAAGGCCTGGTAAATTTTGATTACTTCAGAACTGCAGAACCCTTTTGCATCCATCTAATACCTTTTTTGAGCACAAAAATATTAATACTACAGACTCGTTTCACTACCTTTTAGTGGGCAAAATGCTTGTCCACTAATATTAATGTGGTCATATAACCAGATGTGGCTTGCAGAACAGACATCTTTATTCCTAAAATTGTGACAGCAGTTGTGATTTCCAAGGTAATTTGGGTTCAGCATTTTGTTGACAATAATAAGCAATTTGCATGGTAAATATCCACTATAAATTTACGGCATTTTCACACATTTTTAAAGAGAAAGCATAAATGCTACCATTATATTCTAGGAAGACTCTTAAGCAGGTAAATGCTGAGAAACTAAAAAGACAACTAAATGAGTACCTCCATATTTAATGCCATGTTTCTAGAGATGTTTCTTACACAGTTTCTATAACATTCTAATTCAGACTGTGTACAAAAAAGAAAAAAAAGGAAAGAGAAAAAAGACCACCAGAAGCCCCTCAGTAAAATATGAGTAAAGGCATGAAGACAGAGCTTAAAAATGAGATGTTTACTGCATGCAGTGAGTTTATAAATCCTAAATGAAAGACAGCAGTTATGGAACTAGAATATATAGACAATACTAATGCTAACAAGAAAGGAGCAGGAAATAAGGGATTTTTTTTAAGAAGTGAAGCTGTACCATAAAAGTTACTGTGTTTAATTTTTTTTTGGTCTTGATTTTGAAGCCTTTCCACTTTAAGAAAGGCATTATTAAACTTCATTAATTTCATTTGACTGACTGACAGAATGATAAAGTTTGAATTTATCTGAGAAATGAAACTGATAAATGTTTTGTAGTGGAGATAGTATTTATGGGCTATTTTTTTAACTAGGGGTGATTAAGGAATGACAAGATTCAGGTCCAAGTTCTTCTAAATTTTTTCCTGGAAAGAAGTTTTTTATTTGTATCAGAGACTCCCTGAAAGACTAGAATTCAAGGAAGAGAAGAATTAAGAATTCTGGACAGTATTTTAAATAACACTTAAAGGCATAGCTCCCATTGCATTCCATGTTCAAAATCTGGTGCTTCTGGAAATCTCTGTCAAAAGACAAGACTGTTCATAAGACAAGAAGTACAATGAAAATAAAGTATGATTTGCAGAGAAAAACAACAAAATCTTGACGACAGGTAGACAATGTAAATATGTAGGAGACTCATCCAAAGGTCGATAGGCTAGGATCAGATTAGGATGATAGAATGGAGGTGGACATCAGTATTGAAAAAAATCATCCTGTCTAGCTAGATATAAAAAAATAAATTACGTTTAGTTCTTGCAAAACATTCCTATACTCATCTTGCAACTTAGTGCTGACTACAGTAACAGTGTTCAAGCAAGCATTAAAGCAAAAAATGTAACCAGCAATTCACCCCAATATTTACAGAGTTAATGAAAATACTAATGAGTATCCATACTTGAATCTTGCATAATTCTTTACTGTAAGCCACTAACCATCTTATGTATGTGTATTACAGAGAAATTATACTTCAGGGAGGAAGAGCTTTTTTCTGTCGTGTTGCATAAAAGCAGGGTAAGTTTATGTGAAACTGAAAGGCAGAAAATAAAATCAGCTAAAGATTATTCTAACACACCTACTTTTGCAATTTATCGGCACTAGGAAACACAGAGATTAAGATTTTAGAATTGGTCAGACAAGAATGCATAAAAAAAGCCCCAAACCCACCCCAAAAATCCACCTCAAGAAACAGGAAAGGAAAATTAGTTAGCAGGGAGCATAAAGAAAAAACCTACAATTTCTGGAAGGGCTACAAAGTGGTATATGTTTGCACATCAGTAGAGACAAGGTCCTAAATTAGATACCTAATTAGTCTAACTGAATTATTGCTACACTTTCTTTAGGCTATATATACTTTTTTTTTTCCCTAATACTTGATGAATTTAATGCACAGTTAATTTTCCGTTTGAACATATAACATGGAACCACATCAAATACTTCAAATACACACATGCTTTTCTTAAACTGAGATACGCCCACAGCCTTTCTTTTATTCCTCATTTCATCTTGTTTTGTCAAGGAACAGAATGAAGTTAGTTTAGAATTAACCTACCCCATCCACTTTTTTCAGAAAAAAAAAAAAAAAAAGTAAATTCGGGTGATAAAAACCCTCAAATTCTTTAATGAAGACTTCTAAAAAAATTGGGCAGCTCCCAAAATATGTCTGAAAATCTTTACTTAGCCTTTCTAAAAAAAACCCTCTGAATGAAAGGATAACAGCTTTGAAGCATTGTACGTTTTGTTTTTACAAACACATTATAAGTCATGAAGTCATGTTCCTGTAGTATATAAAATGCATTTTATTTTAGTATCATATATATTCAAGATTTTTTCTTTGTAAATACACCTAAAAATCAAACCACCAAGGTCAAATTCTCCTGAAAAATTAGTACAAGAACCTGATTTAATTATTTATTCAAATGGCAGCACCTCTAACATCACAGCACTTTTTCTAAGCTCTTCTGTAATAAAAGGCTAGCTCAAAATGAATACACATACTAAATCACTAAAAAGGTTTCCAGGCTTCTTCGCTAGCTATTTCAGAAAGCAAAACCAAGAGAGACAATACAACAGGAAAGTATTTTATAATAAATAAAGGCTAATTTCTAGTGTTTCAGATTAAGGAAACCCACACAGCTAATAATTTATGTTCGATCATTGAAAATTAAATGTCTTCTGCAAACAGAACTAATGCAATAAACATGTTTATATACTGAATATAAATCGTACAAAGCTAATAGTAATGACATCATTTATATATAATATGCATTATGATTTAATGTATCATAGAATCATAGAATAGTTAGGGTTGGAAAGGACCTTAAGATCATCAAGCTCCAACCCCCCTGCCATGGGCAGGGACACCTCACTCTAAACCATATCATAATTGTTTAACTTATCAAATCCATGATGAAAGATTTATATAGATGCATGTGCAGAAATCTATATGGAAAGACATGAAATCTGGAGAATGAATATAAAATTTTGTTGTAGCATATGTGCATTTTATGAAAATACATACATATTAGCAGATACTGTAAACCGTCTCTCTGTCTCTCGCACTTACGACTTTGCCAGTTGATGGTTCCTTCCTGCTCCTTTCCTAGTCTCTTCTTGAAGGCATGATAGAATGACACTTTTTATCTTTATTGTTCCCAAACTCATAACATAGTTCTATATGCCTATCTTTGGTGAAAGACCTTATTATTTATTTTTCTGGATGGACATACAGTGTGAGTTACAATCTCGACAGCAATTACACATTAATACGAATGTAGTGTATACTGCATAACTCAATTATCCAAGATATGAATACATTCTATTCTGAATATATGAATATAATGTTAATTTTGCCATTGACGTCAGTAGCTTAGACTTGTCTTACTGAAATTTAGGATCTTAGCAGTTAGGAATCTCATCTAATTTAAATGGTGGGGGTTCATAACTAGCCAATGGAGAGAACCAGGAAAATTAAGGACATAATTCTTTCTTTTCTAAGATGGCAGCCAGAGAATCATATTCTTTCTTCATGGATAAAATTAATTTATACTAGGATGATTAAATTTATCTAATCTAATTTTAGGAAAGTAAATCAAGTAAATAAGCACAGATAAATTGTACTCACCATTATTTTTTGCCTGTGGTAACTAATATAATGCAAATAAATATTTATTCCAAAGCCTTTAAAAAGTGTGTCAGAAAAATAGAGGTATCAAATATTTTTACATGGTTACAGTGATTTTTATTTATTTTTTATTGTTAAAGTGAAAAGTCAGCATATATGAAAACATAATAAATATTATATACGAAAGCAAATCTGTAAAATGCATATGATTTATGAAATAACCTGATTTCTATTTTGACATAAAGCATTTCAAGAAGCTTCACTACTTAAAAATTTTTAGGAATTTCAATAATTTTGCCAAATTTATTAAATACTGCTTATATTTTCTGTAATTTTGGGGGCATGGAGTTTTATTTATCTGGAAAAGGTATTGTTCCCAAACAAAAAAAAAAAAATATAGTATCTCATATCATTAGAAATATAGTAACATTTTCTTCAGTTATATTACACAGAATAAAACATGAAACTTAAAATGCTAACATTTTATAACCTGCATTTTTTTCTGTATAGACATTCTTTTGTATGGTAATGGAGTGGTAACAATATAGGGCTTTAAAAGGATCCTCCGCGACTGAGCTACAGTAAGTCCAGTGGAGCGCATATACTACAGCATAACTGGCAATCAACATAGCAGAAATCTGTGGCTCAATTAGGATATGTGCTCTGGTATTCAGCTAACGAAACATGCATTTTCCAAACCGCTTTTGGAAAAAAAACCAAAACAGCAAACATTTAAAAAAGCCCACTATGCTTTATAATTTATAGAGAAAAAAATCATCTAAGAGTCAGATCATCAGAAGATGTATTCCATCATGTGGAACTTCCCATTAAAATCAGAAAAGCAAAATTCAATTCATGGCAGTTTTTAAACAGAACTGTAGAAAACATATGAAAAGGTTTTAGGTTAGAAACAAACAGAAAGGTAAGTAGCATGTGTTTTTAGGGATTCCAAGCATGCTCCTTTCCTAGCATTTTAAAATGATCTTTAAAACTGGTATTGAAAAAAAACGTAACTTACTTGAAGATCTTGCTGAGTGTCTGTGTGGCTGCTTATTTTTTTCTCTGTTCTCAGTCAAAGCACTTCCACTGGCCATGGAAACAAGGTCTAAATCCGTGTCTTCTCTGCTTACAGGGCTTGCCTGGAAGCAGTGGGAGAGAATGTACACAATCATGAAACAAAATATAACATTTTCTGAATGCAGCTCACATTACCCCAAATAAACAAACATAGTCTGTCAAACAACCTTCTTCAAAATGATACCACAATCCTTTATTGTTGCCTAAGCTGAACAAATGCACTATGTCAAAGCATTTTTGTAAATAAGAGCCGATCTTAAAATTGTGGTTTGTGATCTGAGTCAGTGCAACAACAAAAGAAAACATTTTAGTACAGTAATTTTGAAGAAAATCAATCTTGCAGACGGCTGATGAAACCTTAAACAGCTTAAGATCATTTACTGACCAGTCTATAATTTAAGTTATAGTTGAATGTCAGAGATGTCATACTGGATTATTTTCTGCAATATTTATGTTTTATCCAGGACACGTATCAGTTTAATCAGTCAAGGGCCCAGTAAGTAATTTAATCTACGTTTTTTGCTAATTAACCATAACCACCAGACAGCATTTTAATTGTACTTTAGGTAAGAGTATTATATTAATTATAAACTTTAACATCCAGTGGAGATACATTTTGGCATAAAGCTTGTCTTCTGCACATAAATATGGCAAAATAGAAATGAAAATCATATTTTAGCAACGAGTCCTTGCTTTGAAGACATCTAGGGCAAAGGTTAAAAATACTGACCTGGAAGATGCCATGCACTGTAAATGGTGGATTGTTAGTTTTGTGGAAATGGCTTAATATTTACTCAACAAGAGCTCCCTTTCCTTGAAATGAAGTTGTTCAATACCAAAAGCAGCCATCTAATACTGTTGACAAGATACTGAGGCAGTAACAATGATGAGGAAAAATCAGACACTGTGGAAGAGTGATCTACAAAATCCACAGTGTAGTTAGTCAGCTGGAAGTACTGAACATAAGTGCATACTTTTCTAGTCTCTGGACCTTCAGAAGCAGAGTCCAGAAGGCAGATTAAATCCTTCCTCTATTTGGTCTGAAAAGCCCCAGATCCTTTCAGAAGATAGGTGCCCAACTGAGTAGAGTCCACTTTTTATAAAAGCAAACAGTATCATAGTAGCTAGAGTGCTTAACTGGGAATCAGGAGACTGGGTTTCAACTCCTTCCTTGGGGGGTTGAAGCCTGCAGCTCCCCTTTTCTCAAGAATGTGCCATTACTATGAAGTTGTAGGATATTCTGGAGAAGACGATCTCCAGACTTCCTGTTTAAACCAGCTCAGTGTACCAAGAGCAGCATTGCACCAATGCAGACAGCCTTTGTAGTCCAGTCTAAGTTAGAGGACTCAGATGAAATGGAGACCTGTTTCATTTCTTTGTCTTTACCCAGTCACTGTTTAATGTAAAATTCATTAAAAAGTTCATGCATTTTCAAGCCAACAACTCCAAAGATACAGATAATTTTATGCTCTTCCTTAGTGACTGTGTAACCCTTGTGTTAGTACAGAAAGTTTATCCCTTGTTTTCTGATGCTTGCCTTTTATATGTTTAATGACCACGATTTTAAAGTTTTCTCTGCACAGGTAGCAGGCTATATTATTGCTGCTAGCATCAATATTTTATATTCTCTTCCACAGCAGTGTCTAGAAACTTTGAAAAGTATGAGTCTTATCTTGACAACTCTTTATATTTTTGGCCTTAATATTTAGTCACTTTAATCTTGTGAGAGCTCCTTGTGTTCAAAATCTTTAAATAGAAAGCTTTTAGTCTTTCAGTAATAAAATAATGCAATCATTGTTATGCCCAGAGAGATTTGAAACAATGTACTTGAACATTCTTATTTCCATCTAACTCTTAAAACACAGCAGAAATTTTCTAATGTTCAAATTCCCAAAGACCCAGTAGGCCACAGCACTTTAAACAACTCTTTCCACACAAGTATTATCCAATCCCTATCATCATAGAATCTGAGGTTTCATTATCATGTAGACAACAACAGTCAGTGTTATATACTAGACTTTAATAGGGCAGTCTGGTTCTCTGATGTAAAATCTTTGTTATTTTCTTTCAAATAAAGTTAAGTGTTTTCACTCAATTACAGTCAGAGCAATATTTAAGGTTGTATTAATCACTGGAGCAAACTTAATTTCAGGTTTGTAAAGAACCTGATTGAAGGTCCTCTGAAGCTAATTAAAACCTTCCTTTTTACATTTATAGCTTAGAGCCAAAATTTGGAAGACATTTAAGATACTTGTACTCTTTTTCACAGAGTGCAGTATTGGACTGCCATCTGTAGTGATCATCAGATTTACCTCTTCAGACTTTTTGCCATTAGCTTTTTAGTACAAACATTTTTTTCTTCTAATTAATTGGAAATTCATTTCAACCTGGAGGAATCTTTTCCTTGAATACAGCTCTGCATCTGAATATCTTTTCTATTCCTATGTCAAATTATCAAGATATTCTGTAACCTTCTGAGGTTAAGAGTGCTTTTAAATTCAAGTTATATCTTAATGTTTGGAGATACTGTTTAATAGTGAAATGGCTAAGCATGTAGGTAACTTAAACTGCATACAAAGATGAATCAGTAAGTATATCCTACTTGTCATTCAGGAAATCATATTATTTTAATTTTAATTAAAAATTGTATTAATCTAGTACATTCAGAATGCAAGCTTATGAAACACAAATTAGGGACCTTATACACAGGGAAACATTATGATCAAGCATATGACATGACTAAACTACTGGAAATTCCTAGGAATGCTTTCCTTTTCTAATATATTTTTCTTTTTTCTTGTTTTTTTTATGTATATTTTCTTTTTTTTTCTTCCAGTTTACCACAACTTTTCCTACATTTTGATAATGAGTGCAGCAAAGTGCTAGCTTAATCTTTGTCATGATTTCATAGCTTTTAACTGATTTGTTGTGCCAAAGCAGCAGGAGTATGTTTGCACTTAAACCTTTACAAGTTAAGAGAATCCATATAAATTTAAAAACCATAATACTCTAGCTGTCTATGTGTGCAAACCACATAATTATTTCATTGCCTACATAGTACTGTTTTCTGCATTAGAGATACATTTTATTCCTTTTTCTATTGCATTTTTGTCTGTATGTCATTCATGTGGAACAGCTATGTAATTATGTGGCACAGGCTGTGACAATCCCATAACATTGCCAGTTATGTGGGCACACCACATAATGCTGTTGTGGGATTGAAGTAGTATTTTGTGGACAGAACTGCCTACTATAAATAAAATACAACCTACCTATATGTACATATGCTTAACGATAATAATATGTAATTTAGATAACATTATTAGATTATGACTTGCTTAAATTAGAGCAATTACTGTTTTAGACTTTATGCAACAAATAACTATTTGTGCTGCTGCTGCAACCAAAATTCATCACAACGGTCATTTGGCTCTTAATGTCAGACCCTAAACTTTAACAGGAATCTAAGAACTGGGGACACCCCACACCAGAGAAAAATCTTTGACAAAATCTGACTTAATGAAAAAAGTAAATAGAAACATCTAAGTCTTAAAACCATTTATTCAACAGCGAATTTTAGAGGTTTAGGGAAGTGTTTCCAAAACGCATACTGCATAGATGATAAAGCTAAGGAAGGTAGGAGTTAGAAAGTGCCAAGATTTCTCAGAGTACAGAATGAGGAATATGACATATCTAACTGGGAAATTCTTTTTATGCAATTTTACACTAGATATATGAATATAAGACACCAATTATGTATAGTTTATAAGTTTTTTCCCATTTTTTTAACTCCCTACATAATCATATAAACAAGAATATTAGTAGTTTGGTAGTAAAATGTAAAGTGTGTGTGTATGTATATATATGTGTATGTGTATATATATATGTATGCAGAGTATAAATTGGCCTGTAATCACACCATTGTTGACTATCAAAGGAACCTTTGGTTATCTCTGACACTGAGTCTTTTCATTTTGTAAATCTTCAGGTTGTTAAATTTCTCATATTTCCCCTCCTGCCAACCTACCCATTTCAGAAAATGATTTTTTTTTTTTTAATGTTGAAAAAAAACCCCAACAAACCACCAAACCATGAAAAGGGTAGGGGACAGAGAAGAAATTGTCTGATTTTATACACTGTTTTTTGTAATGTCACCATATTAACACAAAAGCCGAACTTACTATCTTTCAATAAATGATGCTATGGGCACATTAGAATGATTTAGGTATGTGACTTACAGAATTTAAGAGTGTTTAAACTTGTCTGATTGACAAGAATACATGTTTTCAGTAAAAATGTAACTGGTGTTGAATCATACTCAATTTTTTAAAACATTTCGGTTGATTTAGAAGCTTTAAAAAACACACAGTAGCACTTGATGTCTTAAAACTAAACCTAATATCAGACCATTAAACTAGAACACTATGTTTACACATGGGTTCTTGTGCTAAAACATTTTCTTCCGATCTTCATCAATGGGTGACTTGATTGCCAAATAGAGACAATATTAAAAATTCTATTTAATTAGAAAAAGTCTGTTTTTTACACCAAATCTGCATTTTGAAGCACCACCAAGGCTTAGGTGAATTCCGTAAAATCCCATAAAGAAACAAATTCTTACCACAAGTTGTACTCGCCTACTATCACGTATCACAGGATCTAACTTGGGCAAAAAACGAGAGCTGGGAAAAGCATAGAATAGAAATTTCAGTAGGTCCCACTTTACTGGGTTCACTAAAATACATGTACACAATCTTTTCCTGGAAACACTCCTTCTTAAGTAGAAACAATACTATTTAAAATCATTTCAGGCTTAAGATGTAGCAGAGTAATTAATGCTAAAATGTTTGTACTTAAGATTAAAATCAATAAAACATTAACAATTAATATAGTTTATTAAAATGATACAATACTATTTAAAATAATAATGCCAATAAATGCAACGATGCATGAACTTTTGCTGTACTGACATAAATTTTAGTAAAAGCAGTTGTCATATTACATAGGAATAAAATTGTTTTCAGTTACATAATTTCACCATCTGTTAAAAACTGTCTATCAGTGATGTTCCAATGGAGATCAGTGGGACTTCTGTCACAGTGCAAAATGGTATCATAATTGTAAAAAATGTCATTACAAGTACTAGTGCATAGCACACACCTACAGAGGTAACATAATAACATTTAAAACAATTCTTTCATAAATTTCCATGTCTTCTTACTTTTATACGTCATTATATAATACGTCCCAATGTTTTCATTCAAATTAAAAATCATGGCAGTTATCTTAAACAAACACTTGGAGTGTTTAACTATTATGGAACATGACTGACAGATAAATATTTTCTAGGGAGTGCGTGCTGCATATACTCCCTGGAGTCACTGATACAATTAAGAAATGTGGAATATTTTTCCATACAAAACATAGCAATATTCAGTCCACTTCATAAAAAATTAAATACATTTTTAATGAAAATGAAGTCAAAATGCTTACACTAAGTCCACTGCCTGTCCATTGAAAACTTGTTTGGTTTTATTACAGGTGCTTGGCACTGTGTCTAATGACTTCACTGGGATATAAATAGTTTATACTGAATTTATGACCAAAATGTAGTATGTCTTCATATTATTTTATGGAACAAGACTAACCTTTCCTTTAATTGCATTGATATTTTACCTGTTTAATAACCAAAATTAAATAAAGGAGCATGTTTATAACATTTTACTAAAGTATACTCTGAAGATGAAAAAATTGAGTTGATGTTTTGAAGAAAAAATATAAATACATACAATCTAGTTAAAAAGTGGGGGGTTTACTTCTTTAATCAAATCTAACAATACAGGTAATGTTACAGTTGATCTAATTATAGCTGATCTTAATAAAACCATAATATATACCAATAATGTTATAAAATATGTGATGAATAAGCATTTTTTTACACTCTTTATAATATAAACACTGTATTGGTAGCATAAAGCTGTGTAGCTATTTATCATAAATTTGTGCACTGCTTACCACTGTGGAAGAAGTGTCTGTACAATGACTACTAAACTAATTCTAAAAGCTGCCATGTTTGAGACCAAGAAGTATGGTGTACTATCTGCTAGCTACAAAATCATGTTTGTTTTAGAGCTATTAACCTGGGGTTTACTTTACAAGATAAATTTAAAATGAAAAATAAAAAAAAAACTAATTAAAAGGCAATGACCTCACCACTTTGTATTTTTGAAACTGGCAGCTCCATAATCCAAAAGCTGTGTATGAAGCCATTTGTATGTAAAGTCTTTTCTCCTTTGTAATTTCTCATCTAAAGAAGTATCCAGCTGAGAAAATTCTTCTTTTTTACCTGGGGAGGAAAAAAGATATTCCTGTCTTTCATTATTATTTTAAAATTTTTTTTTTTTTTTTAAGATTCCCCATGTAGATAGAGTGCATTACCTTTTACAAAAGACAAAAAGGCAATTACTTGGGCTGAACATGTTCAGTGGCCAAACCCCACTTATTAAAATTAAGCAAGATCCTGGACCAGAATACGGAGTCATATATGTCTTGCTAGTGACATACAGACTAGAACTTAGGCAGACTAATTCATTCTCCGATGGTTTAAAGAACTTTCAATTACCTCTGTAGGAAGACAGAAAATTAAAAAGCTTGGATGGAGAGTCACTGTATCTAACCAAATGAGGTTGTGAGGGCTGTCTAAAAAAGGTCAAGTACAGAGATCATCACCTTCCTTGATTAATGTGGGAGCCATTTCTTCTTTTCTAAGTTTATGATATTGCCTTCCCCCATTCCTGGTTCAGTAATACAGTCTTCTGACCTTTACATTTTGAAAATTTATAGGTTCCAAGTCTGCAGCTACACTGGTATGCTTACAGCTCTTCAGATGAAGACTGTATGACTTCATAGGAGCAGTACTGGAGATTGAGCCTTCTGTGTATCCTCTCCAATGAGGAATAAGTCACAGTATCACAGTATCACAGTAAGTCCCCAGTAAATTACCTGCAGGATTTTTCTTATCTGTATTTACAGAAAAATTGGTCCAGTATTACCATCTTTCTCAGGGGAATTACATCTTTCTATTAAAAGGATCAGTATTATTTATGCATTTACTAAATGTTTGTTACCTTTTCTTCCATTAAAAGGGAAATCAATGTAAGGATTTAAATTCATTATTAGAAGTTCATGACTGAGTCTGTGTGCCAGTGATGGTTGAAAAAAGATGCAAATACAACAAGCTATGAATAAACATTAAAAAAAAAAAGAATAATTTGAACTCAGAAAGTTATGTTTCCAAAATGATTAATGACTTGCCTTAGTTGCACTTTGAATTTTTGACTGAGTTATGTCTGAAACACAGCTGCATTTATTTAACAAAATTTTATTTTAAATTTATTATTTATTTTGCATGTCAGTTATTGAATCATTATTCAAACAAGAAAGGGACCAAGATAAAAGTGTACTTTTTTTTTCTTAAAATTATATATGCTAGGAAAAGGAGTATTCTTATTCCATGTTCGTGTTAATAGTGTGGGTTTTTTTTCAAATAGGCATATACTGTCAATAATTTGTTTAATAACGCTGCAGAACTTTGAATTCTATTTTCTTATTTGGAACACACCCATGTACTTACTTTTTAATAGCTACATCTCTCCTTTTAATTCTTATGAAAAAATGCTATGTTATGAATTAAACTATAGAATTATCACTTTTCCCCTTCACTTATGAAAATCACGTGTTTGAGGATTTGGCGTATCAGTATCATTAACATGCATATGCTTGATATCTTTCTCAAATTAAGGCTCTGGGTTTTTTAAAAAACTTAGACATGATTTTGTAAAAGTACTAACACTCACAAATTCCACAGTTCTTAAGAGCGGTAAGCATTCAGCATCTTTGAAATGGATCAGACCTATAATTTTTAATTGTTAAGCCCAGACAACCCTTAGAATGTCAAAGAAAAAAGCAACATATCAAAGGCGGCACAACTCCATCAAAACCCAAATTATTTCAAAGGTATTTAAAGCATCATACCCTCATTATATTATTACTTCTAAGCTTTCAATCTTTTTGAATTTTTGTGTTTGTGGGGTTTTTTTTTTTTTTTTTTTTTTTTTTTTTTTTTTTACATGACACACACGTTAATAATTTAAGATTGGAATAGTCTTATGCTTTGCATTAATACAGTAATGAGTTTTAGGTGTTGCCAATTAGTCATATACACACATACTGTGCACTCAGGCCAGATCCAGTACAGCTTCCAGGGGCACCTACTGCCATTTTCCTACAGAATCTGGGCATCTAAGAAGGCAGAATTTATTCAGAAGCACATGAAATGTCCTTGGAATTGAACATTACAGGAAAATAGAAAACTATTCTCTATGTCCCCAAATCACCATGAAAATCTGTAAGAACCTGAACTTTGGGATCTAGAAAATGTCATTCTCCATCTGCATAAAACATCTTTTTGTTTGCTGGGCATGCTCTGAGCCAGTCAACCCATGTTCAGTTTAAAATATGGTTGCTACTTACGCACTTTAGACAATCTCTGACAAATCCATTACATGAGTAAAGGAGAAGGGCTAAATCTGTGAACTAGTTCTTGTGAAGTGCTCTAAATTCTAGAGAGAATTTTCTTCAAAATTGATGCATCTTGTGCCCTCAGCTGTAGCTGTCAGCTTTAAAAAAAAGGATTGAAACATACCAGAAAAGAATAGCTTTGCACGTGGAAGCTGAAGATTCAAATCTCACCACGCAAAGGAGCACCTGAAACCTGTTTCCCACTGTCTAAGGAGTACCTCATATCCATGTTCCCCAGTGAAGGGCAAGTGCTCTTAACAGCAAGCAAGTATACAAAAAAAAGGAAGCTGGTCACACAATGTTAACATTCAGGGTGATCTTTCAGATTCCGCATTTAAGTTTTGTGATTGTATGCCCATAAAAACCTGATCCTGACTCTTGTAAATCTCAGCTACTCAACTCTCTGTCAATTTATATTCTAGAGAATGCTGAAGAACCTGATTCAACACGGTGATTTTTTTTTTTTTTTAATAAATCTATTTGTTGGTGATGGGAAGATAAAAGATCTAACTTTATTATGTCACATTTTCTGAAACAGAAATGTATGGGGAAGTTGGCACTGTATCCAACTTTTCACAGTTGAATTTTGTGTTTAGAGGGTGATTTAAGTCACTCCAAAACTTGCTTCATACAGAGTATAATACAAATAAAGTAAGAGATCAAGAAAACTAAGATACAGAATGTGAAAGAAGGGCTTGGGATTTCTTCAGCATTCTCACTTAATATAAAAATCTGTGAGCAGAGTTAATTTTCTCAATATGTATTCTGGAAATGGTGCTTTTAATATAAGAATTAAGTAGCTGGGTTTGGTTATAAAAATTAATGTCTATGCCATTAATACATTGGCATTTTTCTTATCTGTTAGCATTCTGGCATACATTACTGGCCAGCAATGTACATTATGAGGGCATGTGCATGTGAGTGTGTATGGCTCTACAAACTATGTAAAAATATTATTCTCAATTAAAATTAAAATTATAGATAACCTATGAGAATTTTCATAATTTTTAATGTCTTCTATAAAGTTATGTTATAATACACATTAATAAATAATCTTGAACTCCTAAAACTAAAATCCAAAATTTTATCACATTTTCTGCATATGTTAGTCAATAAATAAACCAGCATTATTTCTGTCATAATCTGTATAATACGTGCATCACAGAAAGCAAGAATGTAAGTAATCACATTGCTATCAAGGCAAGAAACTAAAGAATTTGGAAACAGACAGGAAAATAACAATAATAAAAGCTCCACAACAACCCCCCCACCTCCACCCCCAAAACCATCCAGAAACTTACACAGAATGTAAGAGAAATGAGAGGAATTTCTTCACTTCCCGAAAAACTTGACCCATCTGTCGGAAGTCTACTTGTCAGAAGACATTAAATACACCTAAGCATTACATAACAATCACTGCATGCCATGTAAATGTACGCTACATGCTGCCATGGTTTTGGAAAACGAATGGTATTCAGAGTGGTCTTTAGCATATTCACAGGTACTCAGTGAATACATCTATTTTACCAATATATATGACTTCCAGACAGGTGTTAGTATTATGGGGCAGTAATTGATATGAATTCTTTTCACTTAAAATTGCAGTATCTTCAGGCACTCTTTACCTACAGCTCAGGTATGGAATTTTCAAATAGTGAAACACATACATTTCTGCCTTAAACCCAAAGAAACTTGTTTATAATATAGCTATATGGCACAGATTAGGTAATTGTAGATGAAACTTCTTCATCTGAGTAACTTTTGACTAAATCAACTTCTATCCCTAGGACCAGCATGCATCAAATAAAAATATTTATAGTGGTGTCTGAATGAGTTCACAGCTGAATAAGATTGGAAATAGATTTTTCTCACAAGAATACCACCCACGGGTTAAGACCTACAACATTTCTTGATGCTTAAAAATGCCTTATTAACTACACAGAGAGTTTTGAACCTTCTTCTCTTCTCTACCTCTTCGTCTGCTATTGTAACCATCTCCTTTCACCACAACTGTCCTTGACCTCACCCTCACATCATTCTTCCTTCACTGACTCCAGATCCCCACCACAACCTTCAGTTAAGACTATAGTCTTTATTTTGGCTGTCCTTTTTCTCCTTGTTCTCATTTCTAATTTTTGCTGTCTTTTACACTCTGCTCTATTTCTGAGTGATTAACACCAGTAATAAAGCTTCATTCACATAGTTCGTTCTGCTTCAGTGGCTACCATATTTCAGCCTTTGCTTTCTGTGTTAGCTCTTTGATGTCTTATTTGATTATGCAAAAGCTGAACAATTTCATTGAGATTCCTAAACCACTGAAACTACACAAATTTCAGCTTCTGAAATCAAGGAAAACAGGATTTCAAACTCGGGCCTTCCCACACATTATTTTCCATTTTGCTATTTGTTCCTGCCTCTGCAGAATACTCCACCCCTACTATTTATCAGTAGCAATTAGTATTTATACCTAGTTTATTTTTTATGCTAAATTTGCTCCTGTCCCCACGCTGAGGCAAATCCAAGTCTTACATAGTCTTCAATGGTGTACTTTTAAGATAACTTATTTAATGTCATTTCTCTCTTCATACCACAACAGTGTCAATGAGGTTCTTAGTATTTCCAGATTAATCTCTTCCACTGAAGCCATCTGATCACACAAATATATTGCAAACAACTAATTCATCTTAAAATGCTTATATGTTTTACTCTTCTTATGAATATGGTTCATTTCCCTTTGAATTACTTCATAAGCTCCACTCTCCTGGC